AGATCGCCCAAATTAGTGTTTAATGGACTTAATCATCATTGAAGAATAGCCTCATTTAGGGGTGGGAAAACGATTGCGATTTTGTGGTTATACCGCACCCACATCGAATAAGAGCGGTTTGTGGTTAACCGCAAACCGTATAAAAGGGCATTTTTTCGATAATAGTTAGTGGAATTGGCTCTTTTGCGGTTTGTGGTCTAACTGAATACCACACCGAGTAAGTAACCTCACCGAATAACTAACCGTGCAAGAGTATGCCCAGCCCAGGCCCAACCCATCCAACGGCCCAAAATGCAATCCCTCTCCACTCTCCAGTCCAAAGCCCCAAACTATCTCCAAACTTCCAACTATCTCCATTCCTTCCTTTCGAGTTTCGACCTTTCCTTTGTTGCTCGCAGGCAGCAGTGTCACTAAACCTGAGCGCCTAAACCTTTGTGGCTTTGTCGACTGTCGATGGTGAAGAGGAAGAGCAGCGGCCAGCGAGCAGCCGAGCATGAGCAGTCAGTCCAGCTCCACTAGCAAAATTCACGAGCAGGGGAGCAGGCGTCCCCGTCCATCGACCATCGAGAAGCAGAGCAAAGCACGAGCGACGGAGGAGGAGGCGTTGCCATCAGCGATTTGTGGTTTGATGTGTTGTTAACTGCAATTAACCGCAAACCGTTTGTATTGCGGTAACGGTGGGTGGTTTTTCCCTTGTGCGATGTGTGAGAGTTAGAATTCGTGATTTCATTAGCTGAAGTCTTGGGAATAAATACCCAATTTGTACAACAGAAAAACTAACATGATCCCACGTAGGTTGTAATGTAAGAGTGACCTAACCACTAAGTGAAGTAATTAAATACAAAAGTAATTAATCAAAAGTTGTATCCTTATCACGATGGTGGTTCACCGCGCTTATTCGGTGCAATTAACCGCAACCACACTGTTTCCCACCCTTATCATCAGGCCGAATATGTGATCTATAGCCTTCCTTTTTTTTTTTTCAAGAAATGTCAATAGAGAAAAACTATACAATCTACCCAAAAAAACCTCCCGACCCTTTACATCAGTGAAGTCATCCAACAAAGTCGAAGGAACATAACTCAAGAGGAGAAAGTAACAGGGCTTTCTGCGCCACTCTATGGGCAGCCCTGTTAGCAGTCCTGGGAACTGCCCTAAACTCTAAGGAGACAGAAACCGAAGACAGGAGAAGGAGACAATCCCGAAGCACCGGACCTCCGATGGAATCTGATGAAACTCCCTGGCAAGCTGACGAATAACCACTTCCGAATCACCTTCGATGATGACACGGGGAAGGGATTTGGAGACCAAGAGGGAGATGGGGTCCCTAGCAGCCAAAGTTCTGCGAGGTAGGGATCAGCAATGTTGTGGTGGTGAAACCCTACTGCCAAAGTCACATGCCCGTCTGTACCACGAACCACTAGACCAGACGAGCAACCGGGAGCACGAACCGCAACATCGAAGTTGATCTTCAGAAAGCCATCAGGAGGAGGGATCTAGAAGGGAAGGCGAGACCTTGAGGGCTGAGGGGGAGGGGCAGGCACTGGAGGCAGAGAGGAGGAAACTTCACGAACTTGGAAAAAACATTGATGCGCTAGTGATCTATAGCCTTCAAAATCTAAGAAAAATGGTCTTTCAAAAAAAATCGCCAATAAAATTACAAAATGTAATCCGAAAATAAATTCGTTCAAATCGGTGCTTAATGGATTTAATCATCGGTTAAGAATCGGATTAATAGACTTCATTATCATTTGAGAATAGTCTTAGGCTGACTCCGTTATCTATAGCCTCCAAAATCAAAAGAAATGACACTTCATCGGCCGAAATCTGTGATAGTACCCCTTTGGAATTTGCAAAAAATGGACCTGGAAGAAATTCGCCTAAATCGGTGCTTAATGGAATCATCTTTGAAAAATAGCCTCAGATCGAATCCTTGATCTGTAGCCTTCAAAATCCAACGAAAATGACATTTGGAAAAAATTACCCAAAAAATTCTCAAAATGTCATCCAATAACAAATTCGTTCAAATAGGTTCTTAATGGACTTAATCATCGGTGGGGAATCGCATCAATAGAATTCATTATCGGTGGAGAATAGTCTGGACTGAATCTGTGATCTATAGTTTCCAAATCGAAAAGAAAACTGCATTTCGGAAAAATTGCCCGAAAACTATGATAGTACCCATTTGAAGTTTGTCAAAAATAGACCCGAAAGAAATTCACACAAATCGGTGCTTAAAGGACTTAATAATCGTTGAAGAATAACCATAAGCTGAATAAGTGATCTGTAGCATTCAAAATCCAAAGAAACTAGCCTTTCGAAAAAGATCGTCAGAAAAGTAGAAAATGTCAACCGAAAATAAATTTGCCAAAATTTGTGCTTAATAGGCTTAATCTTCGGTGAATAATAGGATAAATATACTTCATTATCGGGGGAAAACAGCCTCGGACTGAATCAGTGATATGTAGCATCCAAAATCGAATGAAAATGACATTTCGGAAAAATTGCCCGAAACCTGTGATATGTAGAATCTGTGAAAAATGGACCCAAAAGTAATTCGCCCAAATCGGTGCTTAATGGACTTAATAATTGTTGAAGAATAACTTCATGCTGAATCCGTGATTTTTAGCCTTCATAATACAAGGAAAATTGACTTTCGAAAAAAATCGTCCAAAAAACTACGAAAATGTCGTCCGAATATAAATTCGCCAAATTGATACTTAATGGACTTAATCACCGATGGAGAATAGGATCAATAAACTTCATTATCGGTGGAGAATAACCTTGGCTTAATTCGTGATTTGTATCATCCAAAATCGAAAGAAAAGGCATTTTGGAATAATCGCTTGAAATCTATGATAATACCCCTTTTGAATCTACCAAAAATAGACCTAGAAAAAACTCGCCCAAATCGGTGCTTAATGGACTTAATCATTGTTGAAAAATAGTCATAGGCCGAATCCGCGATCTATAGCTTTCGAAATCAAAGGAAAAAGGTCTTTCGAAAAAAAAAAACGGTCAAAAAATTACGAAAATGTCATCCGAAAAATAAATTCTCCCAAATCGGTTCTTAATGGACCCATCATCAATGGAGAATCGAATCAGTAGACTTTATTATCAATGGACAATAGAATCGGGCAGAATTCATGTTCTGTAGCCTCCAAAATCGAAAGAAAATGGCATTTCGGAAAAATCACCCGAAATGAGTGATAGTACTCCTTAGAAATCTGTCAAAAATGTACCCAGAAGAAATTCACCCAAATCGGTGCTTAATGGACTTAGTCATTGTTGAAGAATAGTCTAAGGTCGAACCAGTTATCTGTAGCCTTCAAAAGCCAAGGAAAATAGGCTTTCGAAAAAAAATCTCCCAAAAAATTACAAAAATGTCATCCGAAAATAAATTCACTCAAATCGGTGCTTAATTGACCTAATCATTGGTGGAGAATCGGATCAATAGACATCATTATAGTTGGAGAATAGCCTCAGACTGAATCCGTGATATGTAGTCTCCAAAATTGAAGAAAATGGCATTTCGGAAAAATCACCCAAAATCTGTGATGGTACTCCTTTGTAACTTGCCAAAAATGGACGTGGAAGAAATTCGCCCAAGTCGGTGCTTAATGAACTTAATTATCGTTGAAGAATAGCGTCAGGCCGAATCTGTGATTTGTAGCTTTCAAAATCCAAGGAAAATGTTCTTTCGAAAAAAATTGCCCAAAAAATATGAAAATGCCATGATAAAATAAATTCGCCAAATTGGTGCTTAATGGACTTAATCATCGGTGGAAAATAGTCTCGGGTTGAATCCGTGATCTGTAGCCTTCAAAATCCAAAAAAATTGCATTTCCAAAAAAAAATACCTAAAAAATACGAAAATGTCATCCAGAAATAAATTCGCCCAAATCGGTTCATAATACACTTAATCATCGGTGGATAATAGGATCAATAGACTTCATTATCGGTGGGGAATAACCCCGGGCTGAATTCGTGATTTGTAGCATCCAAAATCCAAAGAAAATGACATTTCGAAAAAATCGCCCGAAATCTATGATGGTACCCATTTGTAATATGCCAAAAATTATCTCGGAAGAAATACTACCAAATTTGTGCTTAAATGGCCTGAATCATCGTTGAAGAACAACTTTTGGCTGAATTAGTAATTTGTAGCGTTCAAAATCTGTGAATAATATCTTTTAAAAAAACTAGGTCATAATATGTGGTGGATAGCCTTCAAAATCAGTGAAAAATAGCATTCAAAAAATTGGCCAAAATATGTGAAAGACAGTTTTCAAAATGGATGAATGATATCATTCAAAAAAATTGGTCAAAATGTATTATGGGTTGCCTTGAAAATTGGTGAGTAATAGTATTCAAAAATTAACCAAAATATGTGGTGAATAGCCTTCAAAATTGGCGAATGACAGCATTAAAAAATTCAGGCAAAATTTGTGATAGATAACCTTCAAAATTGGTGAATAATAACATTCAAAAAACAGGCTCAATTCTGTGATGGATTTCAAAATCAGTGAATAATAGCACTCAAAAAATTAGTCAAAATATGTTATGAATAGCCTTCTAAATCAGTCTAATAGCATTCAAAAAATTCAGCCAAAATTTGTGATAGATAGCATTCAAAATCGATGTATAATAGTATTTGAAAAACGTCCAAAATCTGTTAAGGATAGTCTTTAAAATTAGTGAATAATAGCATTCAAAAAAATCGGTCAAAATCTATAACAAAACTCCTTAAAAATGGAGGAATAATAGTATTCAAAAAAATCGACCGAGAAATGTCTAAGTTATTGTCTTACAAATATAAAAATTTATTATAAATGTTAGTTAACTTGCCTAACTCATAACCCAATCACACTCACTTACGACCGACACGTAACTCAAAGAAAAATGTGAATAAATAGGAATCACAGTTATACTAATTTGTTAATAAGTTGGTGGGCCAATTTGACACTTAAATCCACCCGATCCATCCGGTGCACACCCTTATAGATAAACCTTTGATCTCAAAGTTGGAAACCAAGATGTAGTTTATGTTATACTCCTCCCAGCATAAACCACCACTACACCAATCTGTGGCAATCATATGTTAATCCTATCATCTTAACAACTAAAGACAAATGTTTACATACAGAAACCACAGGGGATGGTGCAGGTAAAAAGCCAACAGAGATTTAAAAGAACCGAAAGGAGGGTGGAAAATTGCTCAACATGAGACCAAGATTCTCTCGTCTAAACAGAATGCACCAATAGCATTCTCAGATCAGTGAAGTAAAACAAGGGTTCTCCCAGAATCATTCTGTTTCCTATCCTGTTTTCCCGAGCTACACTAAAAGTGATTCAACTCTGTACTGTGTACAAGAATGTTCATACATGGATGACAGTTAAACAGATCCACTGTTAAACTTTTCGGCCGAAAATATTGCCTGCAGTTTTAGGGTGAGCCGAGCTGAGGATTCAAGCTCAAGACCATAGGAAAGTCCCATTTGTTAACTAGACAAAGACGGCCTCCAACTTAGCGCATGGATTTGCTTCCAGGTGATTCTGTAAGTCGATATCGGTGAACTTAAAAGAGTAGAGCGCTTGCCTCTGCGTCAACCCTACAGGGTATAGCCTGTAGACTTTGTAATCGTCTTCTCCTCCTCGTATGCTTTCTGGTCTTTCGTCTCTCCAAACTGGTATGTGTTTCATGGACTTGAACTTCTTCAGCACCTCGTGCTCCAGGGCATCCACTGTTAAGTTCCCAGACCTGCATTGTTGTGACAGTTGTATTAGCAATTTGCAGTAGGTTCGATTGAGATTTCGGATCATGTTCTCCAAACTTTCAGAATGAGGAAGGATTCTTGTGATGTTTGCTTCTTCATGGGTACTAATCAAGCTGTAGTTTCCGTATGAGGACGTTTGACTGCACAGTTGAAGAGGTTAGTTACCTTAAGAAAATCGACTCCATCTTGAACCTTCCTCGTTCTCTAACATATACATGATGTACAATCTCGGACCCTCGTGTGCATCTGCAGGGGCGTCTCTTGAACCCTGGGCTACTTTCTTCTTTATCACGAATCATTGTAGCTAGGTGAATGCAAAGACGGCATGAAGAATGTACTGCTGCCATATCGACCAGTGCCTTGAATGAATCAGATGGGCCCTCAAACTTCCACCTGAAAATTGTGCATCTCGCTCATTCACAAGCCAAAAACAGAAACTCAATTTTATGGAGTTCAGATGGTAACAAATAGCACCTTAACGACTGATTGTATGCAGTAGGGTTTTCGGATAGCTCATTCATGGTCTTTGCAACAGTCTCAACATCTTCAAGGGCTTTGATATGTAATACCGAACCTGGCCCAGGGGCATAATCTTGGATGTTTGGAGCACCAACAACCACCGGGATGGTTCCTACAGACATGCAATATTGATCAAATGACTAGCACTCATAATTCCGGGAAGCCTATAGATAGTTATGCTTGTTGCTAATGACTATTTTCAGTTTCATTTTGTTTTCAGTCCTAATCATAAACATGAAAGCAACATACAGCTCTATAGCAAACGCAACACAGAAAAGAAGTAAATGAGTGCGAAAAAAGAAAGCAGAGAAAGGATTTGAAGTGTAATACCAGCAACGAGGGATTGGAAGTATTTCTCCGTAACATAATCCTCCTCGTTAGAATTCTCAAAAGCTAAGCTAAATTTATAGCGCTTCAGAGCCTCCACTTTGTTCACTACAAAAAGGGGGGGAATGATTAAAACACTAATTACCATACATAAATCCAAATGCCATGCAAGCGCGAAGCGACAACATATAAATTAAAGAACACATTTACACTATCAGACATACAACACTTCATCAACACTATTCTATGTGCTTAATCTGTTCCCTCGGTCGTCAAGAGAGCTTTTCCCCACTTAATGCATTTCTGCCAGTAACCCAAATCATGATTTGAAGTCTAAAGAGAGTTAACTTTAACATTTGAACTCCAAAGAAGCTGACTAACTTGTCTCGTTTAAGCGAGACAACAACCATCCTACAAAAGATCATTTTCGTGGAGATCTCAGCCTAGAAACATTCTGTTGAGGATTTTGTCATACACACTGGGATAAAGAGTATGAGAGATAACACGGTATTTGATTCTCAAACTTAAAGTTGTACCAAGTCCCATCATCAAAGGATAACCTCAAAATTACCAACATATTACACGACACAGGAACATAATTCAGCTCACAGCGTAAGATATGCAATGTGTCAGAAACCAAATTGTTGTGCTCACCTCTACCATCACGGTTCCGGTGACAAGCACCGTAAGAGTCTATTGGGATTTTCAATTTTTCAAGGGCATCAAGAACTTGCAAACGGAAGTTGCGGGCACCACAGTTTGAAATGAACACAGCTGCAAGGGCTTTCTCGGTCTTTGGCTCGGGAGGTGCCATGATATCATACTCTGCCCAGGAAAAATATCCCACCGGCACATCTGAGGATAGACTTGTAGTCATAACTATCCGGTATCCATTTCTATAATGTATCAATAAAAAGATAGGAAAAATCAGTTTTCCTCTTAATTCACCAAAATATAAATTATACATCATTGAATCTTGACAAAAATTACTATTATCATCAAACTTGATTTCAGTAGCAGAAAAAGGATTCAACTCAATCAATGTTTCACAATATCATCACTACTACTACTAGTTCTCAAGGGGATAAAAGTCTCCAAGTGCCTAGCAACAGATTTCTGTCATGTATTATATACAAACAAGTAGAATTACAACAGGATGCAGACTTCGGAACCAAGGTGTATCACATCCACATCCAAGATACTATTTGATAATATTTCCTCACGTCGACACTACAATTGAACGATGAGTGTGAAAGGAAAAGTCTATCTGTACTTGTCTATCGATAAGAAAGAGGCTCATATCTTATGGTATAACCCCATGCATAAATAGGATCAGCAAAGGCAGAGCAGAAAACAGGCAGAAGAACCAAAATCACTAGAAGAAGAAAAGGGAAGAATGTCACAATATAAATCAACTATAAGAACAGAAGGAAGTATCCAGAATGCCATTGTCCAATTACGAAGCAAAACACCAAAACTAGAAACAGAAGTTTGGTAGCATTTTTCTGGCTTAGAAGTTGAAGCAAAACAGAACTACAAAAAACAGCGAGGGCATTCTGAATCTGTTAAACTCTATGTCTTTCAAAGGATATTCAGCAATTATACGTTTACAGCAGAAATCTCAAGTACTAGATCGAAAACACAACTATTCTTTAATAGAAAGGCGCGTAACATTTTCCAAAACAGCAACAAAGGCATTGATCTCAGATTGTGCTTACCCACCGTCGTGCCTTAGCAATATCATTCTCTGGATAATACTGAGCCGATTCCATTGACCGATGCACACTGACAGTTGCCGACTTCTCATTTAGCGTACCAAATAATGCATCAGGAGTTCTGTTGGAGTCATATCCGAACTGACACCCCACAGAACAATTCCTCCTCTCCTGTGTATAAAATGGATGTAGTCCCAGTTCAGATGCTGAAGTGATACATAGATAATAAGACCAGAAAGTAACAAAATTTAACAGCTGCCAAAGCAAATTTCTCATTCTCTAACATTGCAACAAGTAACAACAGAATCATTCATGAATCCAAAACTGAAACGCTAAAGTTTCCTATTCAGTAAATCTTCCTTCTTACGGTTAGACAGACACGACAGAGAATATCGAATGAACAGAACAAAATTGGGCAAAAAGGAGCATCAACAAGAGAACCGAATTGAATCAATCAAAATTCAAAACAAACCTTCTCAGCACCGGCGACCAAGATGGGAACCTGATCGAAATCCCGCGAGTAAGGCACAGCATCCTCCCTCTCCAACCACTCCTCGCAAGTTTCCGACCCCAAAACCATATCATTTCTTCTAACCACCGGAGCCTTCTCCCTCAAACCAGGCGGCGACTGATAAAGAAAGCTATCTGCCCACGAATCGACCCGGGCAGCAGCATTTTTCGCCATGTCGAGACGACCCAGAAAGGCGATCTCGGCTAAAACCACAAGAGCAATGAAAACCGGCAGGAAATTTGACCATTTCCGCTTACCCGCCGCCGCCGCCTGCCCAGCTGCCGGCGGTGAGGAACCCGATGATAGCAACAATCCATCTTCTGGATTTCTCGAATTCCTTAGATTTGACAGCATACCCATCAATCTATACCCCGATAAAAATAGATAAAGTCTCTTCCTTTCCTCCTCCCTCAAGTTGGATTGATAATCTCTTTCTCGTTCTCCCAGGGATCAAAATTGGGAGAGGGGAGGAAAGCGACGGGAAAAAGCAAAGCAATCGAGCTCTGCAAACTAATAACCGAAGATTTCAAGGACTCTGAAGCGGAAACCGTCGAGGGATGAATTCATGGGAGGACAATAAATGAAAAGGGCCTTTAAGGGCTCCGAGATGAATGTTTCCCGGAGGTTTTAACATGGAAGGAGGGGACAGGTTTTTTTATTAGTGTCTAGATAGGCGTTTGATATGGTATGAATTTTCTGAATATTATTTTCGAGGGTTTGGTGAAGGAAGGAAGAAGAAGACGGCAACTTTCAGTTGGAAAGGAAGGAGGAAAAGAAACGGACAACTTTTCCGTTGTTTTTTTTCCCCCTCCGGTTTTTCTATTCCTCCTGATCAAGTCTCTGTCTCTCCTTTGATTTCCTCTGTCCCTCAGTTCTTCACCTTATGCTTCAGTTGGGTGCAGAAGTCAACGTTGGACTTTGTCTTTTGATTGGAGAGGATAAGGATTAGTAGCACCATATTATCGTTTTGACGCACTCGTAATTATAGTCATTGTTTTTGTTGTCGGTTTTTATAGTATGCAGACCGCTACAACTCATGATTAGCATGATGTTACTATCGTCGTTTTTCTTTTTATAGATGTTAGACTACAACTCCGAACACAGACCGCTCTACAACATCTCATGGTTAGCACAATACTAACCACTATCAGTAACACAATCATAACCCTCTCTAACCAAGAAAACCAGCGCATTTGGGGCTAATATAAATGCAAAATATATCCATATGAAATGAATTGTGTTCAATCGTTGTTCATAGGCGCTTCTTACAAAATGGTAAGAATCTGTGTTCACCAATATTCATAGACTTCGTTACAAAGAAACCAGGCTACACATTACGGAAGTATAAGCGTAGAAGAACCTATGGCCCAATGTATTGGCATATATACATTAGTGCCACAAATCCAGCTCCTAACTTCTAAGCCTACTACGTGTGTTTCTTCCATGTTTCTCTCTGTATTATATTGAACAAAAGAACCTACAAAACTGCTCTGAAAGGGAAAGAAGTGCAAATTGAGTGCCTATCGAATTGCCGCGCGCTCGTTGTTCTGTGAGCGGCAAAAATCACCATACCCTGAAAATAGTAGAGACATTGTAGGGAGCTTAGCTCGTGGGACATTGCCGATAAAGGAATCTTTGAACAGAGTTCTTCAGCTTTCGAGGCCCTTATGGAAGTGAGCCATGATGTATATGCATCGTTCTTCGAGTTGGAAGCTCGGCTCAGGTGATGTCTTCAGTATTGCGAAATGCCGAAAACTGCACAAGGTGTACCAAAATTGCCACGTCAAAAATGGGGGTTCTCGCCAGGTGAGCCTCAAATCAATATCATAAACATGTAATGAGTAAGCAGACAAGTCCAGCGAATTTACATGATCGCTTGGTCCATCCGTCTTTGACCTCTTGAATCTGGATGCCGGGCTCGACTTATATACAGCATCATCATCACCCGCGAAGTTTTGATCTGAAACCTCTGTAAAATCGGTTGTCAACAAAGGAGAACATCAATCAGAAAGTTTGCACAAAACAAAACATAACATAATGCCAAATGTTTAACACCATTGTCAAACCATAATAAATCATACAAACGTAAGGTATGGAACTAGGCAAAATGTTTATTTATGGAAGGATTATGGATAAAAATTGGCACACACACACACAGACAATACAATGAACAGTGCATGATGGTAGTGACGTAGTGAGAGTTTGAATGAAATATGTGATTGAATACCTAAGAAACTGGTGTCACTCGAACTTTGTGTTGATGCAGGGGAAACAGGCAACTCATTCCTCTTGCGTTTCCCCTCTTTACCAAAAGCAGTGTGGAGATCACTAGATGTTGTATGCTCCGAGTCCTCGGATATATCATGATGCATCGATGGAGGACTTCCTTCTACAAAATGGGAATCACAAGTGCTCTCGAACAAGTCCTCGTCTCCTTCACAGTTGATCTTTTGCTTGCTATCTCTTTGAAAAGTACCCTGAAAAAAACCAGCAATGCATTGGCACAGGGTGTAAAAGACGAAATGAAGCAGAAGTTTACAATTGTTTCCTTCTAACTTCAATAACTTGCCACTGTTCCATTTCTTCAATATAAGAGAAGGCATATATTTTAGACCCCTAACCTGCTGCAACGAATTACAATCTTTGGCTTGTCTGGATGAATATGGCCTGCAATCAACCTTCCGCAAGCAGCCACGCAAGCTGATGGATTGGTGCAATTGCTCGAGGAATGATGCTTCTAATGAATGAAGATACAAGTGGTGCTTCTCATTTGTCCAGGCTCCAGATGGCCCCTGTCATTGAACGAGAATATAATAAGTATTGTAGGTTTTCCATGGATCAATGCCAAGAGTTGAGCTAGCCATCAATACATGAACAGGGGGAAAATCGGGGGAATAGAACTTTAGATTCAAGCTTAAAGACTCATCCAGGTAACTGTCTCACGCACCCATCCCATTCCCATTTTCGGCTGAAACCATGTCAGATAACTAAGTTGCTCACCATACAAAGGATGCAAACGACTAAATTTTTCCAGCATAAACTTCGAATAGCATTAGGTTAAATACAGTTTCTGAGACGCTGGCTTTCTTCTCTACGTTGGTCTTGGGTTTAACATTCAATGTTCTTCAACCAGATTCAGAAAATGTAAGCCATTCACAACATCATCCCCACCACTACCACTTCAAGGAACTAAATCCCTACCCCGAACTCCAAACAAGAAAAAATCAAAATCGTTCCAAATCAGACCAATCACAAGCTAACAATTTTTTCTTCCTGCAATTTCAGTAACCAAACCATGTTCACAAGTAACCGGATACACGGCTTGGAATTTCCATTTTCACGCAGAGAAGTTCTCCACGAATTCACACAAAAGCAAGCAGAGACCTACAACAACAATAAGAGGGAACTCGATGGACTAATTCAACCAGATTCGACGAAAGACAAATTACCGGAATCTCTTTGGCGTCGGCGGTGCGTCGGCCGGAACCGGTGCAGGATCTATCGGGAATCCCCGTCTCCATGACAAATCTTCTCCGGCTAGGTCTTTTCTCCACCCCTTCAAGATTTGAACCAAGCAACAGCGAGAGATCCAACTTGATTGTGGAAATCGGTGGAGCTTCTAGTTCAAGATGGTTTCCCTTTTTGTCAATCGGCAGCGAGGAAGAGGGGAAATCTTCCGTCCAAAAAAAAATTTTGTTGCAGAGAGATTTACTTCTGCTGGGAGAGGGAAGAGGGGAAGAGAAGAAGGGAGAGGAGCGGCCACATGGCAGCGCTTTTTGGGACGTGTCAGGAGAGAGGAGGAGTGCCACGTCATTTTTTCGACTTGAGAAATAAATATCTTGGGCCAATGCCAGCGAGATATTTTTCGCTTTTCTCTTGTGGATGGGCCAGATATTTCTGTTCCGCGTGATATTTTCGGATGTTTTATTATTTTATTGTTTCTTTTGGTTCTCCTTTTCTTAGCCTTCTCGAAAACAAAGTGATATTTATGTTCCGCGTGATATTTTCGGATGTTTTTTATTTATTTTTTTATATTTTTGGATGGCTATATCGACAAAAAAAAATTAGGGGGTTTGTTTGGGGGAGTATGGAGGGAGCGAGGAAAATTCATCTAGTGGACTGGACTACTCTTTGCGCCTCGAAAGAGGAGGGAGGTCTGGCTCTTCGAGACTCGAGACGCACTAACGATGCTTATATGTTGAAGCTTGTCTGGCGGATGTTAACCAATCATGGGGAGCTCTGGGTCCGCCTAATTAGAGCAAAGTACTTCAAGCTTCGAGATGGCGAGTACGTGCTCCGCACCCAGGGAAGAATATCAAACCTTTGGCGAGGAGTACTGCGGGTTTGGCACCTGCGCGAAGCAGGGTCTCTGCTTGGAACGTTAGGAACGGACGCACAACGAGGTTCTAGCGTGACCGTTGGCTCAACGATGGAGAACCCTTATCGGCGTTTGCCCCAGAGATTCCCCAGGAGGCCTTGCATCTTCCAGTGGCGGACTTCATTCTGAATGGTGAGTGGAATGTCGATTACTTGCGTAATTTCTTACCCCCTTCAATTGTTGCGCAGGTACTTCTCCATCCCATTCCTGGGGAGCAAGATGATGACGTGCGGGTTTAGAGATTTATCGTTGATGGGAAATTCTCGGTACGTTCAGCGTACCAGCTACTAGACCAGAATCAGGAGCTTCCCTCGACACACCCGATATGTCGAACGATCTGGCGAACACCAGTCCTGCAGCGTACGCGGACTTTCTTGCGGCTTGCAACTCGTGACCGCCTACTCACGAACTCGGAGAGAAGACGACGCCATCTTACCCAAGACAATTCGTGCAAACTCTGTGGAGGCGGGCCGGAAACAACCATTCACATCTTGCGAGACTGCCCAATGGCTAGAGCAACGTGGGCTGATCTTTTGGACACCGACCCGATGCAGCCTTCTTCTGCCAACCTTTGAGACAATGGTTGTTTCATTATATTGCAGGACGAAGTCTCATCGTGGATAGTACACTTTTCGCTTGCACCTGTTGGCTTATGTGGAAAAACCAGAATAGCCACGTGTTCCAAGGTGAGTTACAGCCCCCTGCACAGATCCAGTTCCACACAAAACAGCTAAAGCAACAGATTCTTGCTGCTTTTGATAAGGAGAACAATATTTTCGGAGGAGGGGGCTTCCTGCGAGTCGTTTGATCCACTGGCTGTCGCCACCACTAGACTGGATATGTCTGAACACCGACGGCTCGGTCATTTATTCTCCTTCTAGCACGGCAGCCGGCGGCATCGTTAGGGGAGGCGATGGCCGCTTCATCAAAGCTTTTACTGTCAACCTGGGAGGGGGTTCGATTACCCGTGCAGAGCTGGCTGGAATTGTGCAGGGACTGAAGCTTGCTTGGGAACTCGGGGCTAGGAAGGTGATTCTCCACACTGACTCTCTTATAGCGAAGACTCTCATCGAGACAGCTTCTGAGCATCATCCACATTTCGTTACCATTGCCGAGATTCGTCGTTGGCTTCATCGCCCTTGGCAGGTTCGGATAGAGCACGTTTATAGGGAGGGGAACCATGTTGCTGACACTTGGCTTCTATTGGCCATAGTTATCATGTAGGAGTCCATGTTATTGATGTTCCCTCGAGTACTTTAGCCTACTAGTTGTACTTTGACAGAATTGGGGTGGAAACCCCTCGTCTCGTTAATGAATAAAGGTTGGGGCGCCCTTTAAGCGCTCTGTTTTACGACCAAAAAAAAAAGAAAAAAAAGTGATATTTTCAGCCTTGAGAGCCACTTTCAGATATTTTTTTTAGCATAAATGGAGCCTAGCACTACTAACTCATGATATTATTCTGACACTCGATGAAGTTAACGTCATACATAGTGAAATACATGATACACTTCCTAAATGCATGGGAGAGGGTAACAGTCGTTGTAGAATGCTTTTGCACGGATACCTACTGATGTCCAAATTGGCAGGCCAACTGGAGACCCTCCAATGGTCTTTTGGAGTTTTCGCGTAAGTGATGGAACAACTTCTCAGATTAGCGGTGACAGCTTCCAATAAGTGGCATTGTCAATCTCGCACCGTTCCTCCAACTGCTCCCTTTTGGGTTGTTGGTAGGAACGTACCATATAATTTGAATGTTACAGAACCATGTAATGTCGGTCTCCACCTCATGTCCACGACTCGACTCGGCACCACGAACCCGAATCTATTTGTCAAGTAACAGTAACAGTGTCAGTTGAGATTTTACTCCAGACTACATGATCCGTTGACTTGTCTTATTGGGAGTCTCTCCACCCCCTCTCCCCCTCCCAGAAGATGTCATCATTTCGAACTCTCTAGAATGACCAATAGGCTACCCTGAAGTTGACATACATGGATGGTTCATAAAATATGATGAGTGAATCGAACGGAAAGGAGTACCCGAAAAAACGTGCTCCTAATTTCGACCCAAACCCCCAAACCAACCAGAACCCCAAGCTCTCAACCCACTCCTAGCCCGCCCAACTCTAATGCTCTTAAGCCCAAGCCCCAACCAAGGCCCAACTCACTCCCAGCCAACCAAGTTCCATGCACACCCCCAAAATTGATTGAAACAAAAATCAGATCTACTGTTTTCAATTCAGACTTTTGCAAATTTACCGAGAAAACTTCATTGTTTGCTTCGTCATAGTTTTGTTCTTTAGATTCCAAAAATGTGTTGGTTACATATTAAAGTAAATTACTCAAATGTTTCCATCCAAACAAATAGTAGCTATGAATACGAAGTCTTGTCTTTTCTTAATTGTTACATTATCAAAAATTAAGAGTTGGCAGCTAAATTCTCAATGTTAAGCATATTGCCGCTTAGGGGCATGCACCCAATACAGTCAAATCGCTAAATTTAGAAACACATTCCAATCGTTTTTTTCCTTGCAAAACATTCCACAGAATCCAATATTGATATAATAACATAGGAAAATGGCAGCGTACATCATACATATAATATATTAATATATATCTTCGTTCGTTAATGTACTTCGATATAATTCGACGAATCAGAACAGTCGTTCATTAATTTTTTTATTAAATTGAAATATGGTTCGAGTATAGATAATTGGATACCGGTTTCACCCATTAAAAATTAGTGTATAATATCATACGTCATAAACGCTGAATAATTCATGATCCCAATAACAAAATTAAAAAGGCGTATTATGATAAGTTTAGTGTACGACCAATCCAAACATACACTATGAATCAAATTGTTGGGTCATTATAGATAAATCCTAGGAGGGCATAAGTCCATTCAGGCCCAATCCCATTAAGAGGTCTGATTAGTTTGGCTCGAAAAGAAGAGTCGGGCCCACCAAGAGGGGAAATGGCGCATGACGACAAAAGTGGGCATGGGGACAAATTTGTACGAAGAAGCGAGCGGAGAAGATGACACCTGGAGGACGTGGTCCCGCTATGCGCCCTTGAAAGGAGGTCCGGAGGCCGCCACGTATAGGCGCCTGACCGTTGGGTCGTACTAAGCATTTAATGCGACGATGACGTGGGGGCTGAATCCCAGGAGTTTGGTTGGGATCTCGACGAGTATAAATAGTACTCGGTAGGTGGCATTTACGCAGGTTGGCTTCTCTCACTAAAACTTCAGAGAGTACTTATCTCTCTAGATTTGGTACTGACTTGAGCGTTGGAGTGCTAACGGGCACCACGAAGCCCACTAGGCGCTTGTCTTTGCAGGATCATGGCGCCCGGATTGTGAGTCGGGCCGGCTTCATCTCGACCGGTGGTACCAGGGTATCTTGGCTCAAACACAAATAATATTAGCATATTCATGTCATCCAAGAAACCATCCAACTTCGATTCCTTCTCTTAATCGTTAGGCCAGCCATTCCCACAGATCCTCCCATTCTCTCGAATCAGTCGCTACAGTAAAAAAAAAATTCGACTAAAATATTCCATCTCTATATATCGAAATTCCATCTCTATTATCGCATAATCGCAACCACATTTCCATAATTAATTTTTCATTAAAAAAAAAACCATGGCGCAATACTACACCTCAACAACACTACTATCACTACTGTTCCTCCTCTTCCTCCTCTGCCCGACGGAGCCCGCCGCCGCCGCTTGCGACGGCGACGACAAGTCGTCGTCCGGCGGAGGAGGAGGAGGAACGCTGGTCAAGTACAAAGTCGGCTCGATGGCATCCATCCTCGCGGCGGGAGCCATCGGGGTGAGCCTGCCGCTGTTCCTGAAGCGCTCCAAAACGACGTCGTCCGAGACCGCGGTGGCACCCGACGACGGCGGCCACGGCGGGGCGGCGGGAGGCGGCGGCGGAGGGATGCTGATCGTGAAGGCGTTCGCCGGCGGGGTGATTCTGGCGACCGGGCTGGTCCACATCATCCCCGACGCGTTCGAGAAGCTGGGGTCGGACTGCCTGCCGGAGGTCCCCTGGGGGAAGTTTCCGTTCGCCGGGTTCGTGGCGATGATGTTTGCGATCGCCACGCTGTCGATGGAGTCGCTGGCGATGGGGTTTTATAAGAGGCAGCAGCAGCTTCATCAGAAGAAAGGCGGCGATGATGTTGGTGACGAGAATATTGAAGCGGCGGGTGGTGATCGGAAAGATGATGATGATGACGATGAGATGATCCGGCGGCGGATTGTATCGCAGGTGAGATTTCTGCTCTTCATTTTCATTTATATACTGCCTGCAATCGTTTTAGTAAATACTCCGTTTAATGCATGCGTATCTATGAATGTAGTTTAAAACTTTCCTATTCGTACTTTATATTGTCAACCTGCTGTTAGAGAGTGGTGTAAGATCCACGATTGAACCTCTCCCAACAACTCGAGTTATTGGGACCAACTGGTTCTTGACACCTGCTTCATATATTTTTTTATACCTAGTTTAGTTGTACGGTATTTTACTAACCATGTGATCAGCAGCTTAATCTAATTGCGATTGATATGCAGATACTGGAGATGGGAGTGGTGGTTCATTCGACGATTATTGGGATGTCGTTGGGGACTTGTAAGAGTGTTAAGACGGTGAAGCCGCTCATGGCGGCCTTGACTTTCCATCAACTGTTCGAAGGTGTCGGGCTGGGAGGCTCCATTTCTCAAGTAAGTAGGGAATTCGAGGAGGAATGATAATGAGTTGACTCGTTTGATCATTTGACTTGATTGGCGTGACTCATGTGAGTATTTATGTCGGACGTAAATGAAATATGATCATATGCAATTTAAATGGTTTTCGATTCAGTTTGAATTGGATCCAATTTTAGGTCAACTTACTTGAATTGGACACATATGAATTAATTAAATTAAGATGTTATACACATAAAAAAAATTAACTATCTCACTAGTCTATTTCAAGCCCAACTCACGTCTCCAATGATTGTGTTGTCACTTTATTTCCCGGAGCCAAGAAAAGGTGAAAATCATAGTATAATCGAGTATTTATTTTCTTTTGAATACCAAGTATGATGGGACTATAGTTTAGAGAAAAACTAAAAATTAAGTATGAGTGCTCTGAAAATTTTACTACCAAAACATGATTCAACCTCTCCAAGTAAATTGGATTTGGACAATACCAATATCTTGGATAATTTTGTCATCCCTAACCGAATTCATGCATGATGTTTTACTACAAAAAAACTGTCGAGCAACCAAAACCTACAAAATTCCGAGTCTTACCACCTCTTATACGAATAATGTCATCTTGATACAATCATATCCGAAATGATAAGACACTGGTTTTGTATTCTCTTTGATTTTGTACCATAACCCCTAGGCAAAGGAACAAAAAAAGTGCCATCGGTCCATCCTATCCAACTAATTTGTCATGAAAACCACAATCAAGACAAATTAACCATGACTGAATCCACAAGAAACAATCCCTTTTCTCGAACATATCCTAACTTCCAAAAATTCTCTTTAAACTTGCTTAAACCAGGCGAAGCTGAAGATGAAATCGAGGGTGTTAATGGCGGTATTCTTCTCAATCACAGCACCAATCGGAATCGGGATCGGGATGGGGATCTCAAATCACTACAAGGAGAACAGCTCGGCTTCCCTGATCGTGGAGGGAATGTTCACCTCGGCGTCGGCCGGGATTCTGATTTACATGGCTCTGGTGGATTTGCTGGCGACGGATTTCATGGGCGGGAAGATGTTGGAGTCGGATTTCAGGGTTCAAGTGGGAGCATATGCTTCGCTTTTCCTTGGAGCTACGTCCATGTCGCTCTTGGCACTTGTAGTTTGATATCTAATTGGTGTAAAACCACTAATTTTTTTTTTTTGGCCCATTTTTTTCCCATCATGTTCTAGGGTTTTGGTTTTGCTAGTTAATTTTGTTCTTTCTTCCAAGTTTGTGTTCCCTTTTCAACTGAAAAAGAAAAAAAATCTTTTGGAATGGGAATTAGGTTATTTCACTTAGGCACATGATTTGGAAGAAGCGCGTATCGTTATTTGGTGGGAAGCGAGAAAAACAATTTGGTGGATATTGGAGAGATCAATTCATAGATGACTTTCACACTGATAAGTGTAATGAAATCGTTGATGTGTACAATATTAAACTACAAATTTTTGCGCTCTTAATCTTTGTGAATTTCTCATTTTATAGTTGGATTATAAGATATTTGATATGGTAGAAGTTCCATTGATTAGTTGTTTGTCCTTCATGGTTGGGTTTGAGGTTTATTGACCATGAACCTACCTAAATATGTGTTATAACTTATAAGTTATAACTATGTTCTAGCACTCACTCACTAACACTGTGTTCATTCATATCTCTCAAGCATTTAATTATCTCTTAAACCTTAAACCTTTCTTATTTTCTCCCGGTTTTACAAACAATACAATAAAGAAACTTCAATTAACACCGACATTCTAAAAAAAAAGAGATTGTATCACGAACTTCATAAATGATTGTTCGTGTATGGTGCACGTGAGTTTTCATTGGACCATATTTACGGGTTAGTTTTGGTATGTCGTATTCCATCCTCGCATAGTTTTGTTATGACGATAGTTACGCGTTTAAAATCGTGTGGTTCAAACGATGGCACATAAGAAAACCTACTCACTCAAACCGTTGTCATGAAGGGGATTGAGAGACCTGGGAATAAAGATGATCTCATGCAAATCAAACATTGAAACTCTCTTTTGACTTTAATCTGAAATTAAGGGCAAACCAGCATATAATTAGACATTTAAACCTCCAATCGCTGTATATTAGCAATCAGATTGGTCAGAAATTAAACCCTAATGCCTCCTGATTAACCATCCCAACTATTTTTTTGGGTTATTTAGCTACATGATCAATCAATCATCGGTTGCAATCCAAACAGAAGAGAAGGAACAATTAAGAGAGAAAATTATACAACAAATTTCTCAATCAGTTTTGTTAATTTGTTGGCTCCCCGCTAATTGCTTCACTGAACACGCAACGACCCGAGCCCATTGCCTCAATCTCGTCTTCACCGTCTCCGCATCCTCACCTAATCCAACCCAAAAAAAAAAACTCAATTTAAATTCAGCCGAATCTCAATTCAATTTTCAAAAATAATTCGAACCATGTTAGCATCCGATCAGTAACATCGTTCGTGTCTGCAACTCAAGGTCCCAAATTCAATTCCCGAATAGCACAACTATACCGTCCGTGTACCCTGATCGTCTTAAAATTGATTGTGTCACACGAATAACATTAAGTTAGTTTGACTGCGCGACTTTATTTATGTGACGTCCACGCGTTCTCCAAAAACAAAACCCTAAAGTTCGAATCAAATAAAAAAACTGCGGGTCGGGCAATACTCACCAGGATCGACGACGACGGACGCGCTGCCGTCCGACGAGATGGACGAGTCGGAGGAAGTCCGCGACAGGATGATCTCGTTGTACTGCCTGTTGACGGCGCAGTAGAATCCGAGCGCCGGGAGCGCGTCGGAGAGCCTGGGGTCCAGATCCGGCGAGTCCGGCTCGAACCCGAACCCGAGCTCGATGCACGCCTTCAGCTCGTCGAGATCCTCGTCCGTCACGCTCCGGCCGAGGCGGCTGCGGCTCGCCGATTTCTGGTTGTGGTTCCCCTTGCGCCGCCGCCACACCTCCTCCCTCCCCGTCTCCGGAGACCAGGACAGGATCTTCCGCAGGTGCGGCCGCTGCCGCTGCGACGGCGCCGCAAGTTCCGGCTGCGTGATTTTGAATTCTGCCATTTACACTCTCCGCTGCGGAGGCGGCGCGTGCGATTGTTGGGACCCAGGCGGGCGGCGCTGGGGTTTTTTTTGTGTAGGGCTGCGAGGGTTTTTTTTGCTGGTTGTATATATAGAGCGGAAGATTCTGGCGGCGTTACACCGGGGAATGAATATTCGTTTTTTTTCACTCCTGAGGCCCAAACTAGTCCAACAAATTCCACACTGTGGTCAAACTATTTTTTTGCTCATTAATTAATGACTTTTGAAAAAGGTGTTAGGTAAGTAAATGAGTAATTATTAAACCTTTCTACAAAAGAAAAAAAAAATTCAACCTTCTAATGACTACAGGAGAGTTCGCACGATTTGGCTTCCGATCGTATCGATTAATCAAGTGTTTGAATGATTTTTAGCTTTGTGAAGTCGTCGTTGTAGTCTCCTATCCGAGGTTTACTCAGTAGTATTTTCGGCGATCTAGTCATCGATTTGAAGTGTGGAAACCGATGAACATAATGATCCGGTCTGATTTCGGTTGACGATATCTCATATTCATTTAATTCTTTTTTATTATATATAACTCTTTGTATACATATTCAACTAATCAACCACTAACAATACTAATTAAAACTCATTTGAATCACCCTAGATCCGAGTTTGATTTTAACTTCATTACAGTTTAATTGGTTCAATGGGTCAGGCTTAAGCAATAGTACGTTCAACGTTTCTAGAGTTTCCATACATTACATGGAAATAAGTTAGCGGGAAATAAATGTAGACGCATATAGTAATCAATCTATCATCAAGAGAAAAATGTTAACATTCACACTGTGTCGCCAATGATGGATAATCAAAATTTCAAAACCCCGCGTCAAGATCAAATTTGGAAGTTTGGAGACGGTGCTCATATCACAAGTACACGCAATGCTAATTAATCAGATACCCAACAAAATATTTCTTATTAGGGAGATTTGATGAGACATGACCGTTCGCCGTTTGCCAACAGCGGAAAAGTTTTGACTTGGGTTTCTTGACTTCTTAAGACATCAGATTATACTGTGTCAAAATAAGGAATGACGTTAGAAAATTAGGTTGAAAATAACAAATGACAATATTTTCTCACGATTGAACCTAGGTCTCAATCTAGGCACTAGGCATGGGAGGGTAATGTTTTTATGGTCATATGGATAAACACATTATAATCTTATACAACAAATTGACTCCGGTTGTAGTTCCTCCTAGACTACAAGTGGGTCCGCTACTAGAGGTGAAAAGAACGACTTATAGAAATTCTAAATAAAAATCAACTTCTATATACTGTTGAACTGAATACCTCTGATTCTGAAGTCTGAACATTTGAACTCTCATATTTGAGTACAAAACCAATTAATAATAATTTTATAAGTACATCTCATCTCATGTATTCGCACGATTTGGCTTCCGATCGTATCGATTAATCAAGTGTTGAATGATTTTTAGCTTTGTGAAGTAGTTGGTGTAGTCTCTTATCCGAGGTTTATTCTGTAGTATTCCATGATCTAGTCATCGATTTGAATTGTGGAAACCAATGTACATAATGATCTGGTCTGATTTCGGTTGACGATATTTCAGATTCATTTAATTCTTTTTTTATATGTAACTCTTTGTAGACATATTCAACCAATCAACCACTAACAGTACTAATTAAAACTCATCTGAATCGCCCTAGATCCGAGTTTGATTTTAACTTCATTACAGTTTAATTGGTTCAACGGATCAGGCTTAACTTTCAAAGTTTCTAGAGTTTCCATACATTACATGGAAAATAAGTCAGCGGGAAATAAATGTAGACGCATATAGTAATCAATCGATCATCAAGAGAAAAATGTGAACATTCACATTGTGTCGGCAATGATGGATCATCAAAGTTTCAAAACCCCGCGTGAAGATCAAATTTGGAAGTTTGGAGATTGTGTTCATATCACAAGTACACGCAATGCTAATTAATCAGATACCCAACAAAAATTTTCTTATTATGGAGGTTTGATGAGACATGACCGTTCGTCGTTTCCCAAAAGCAGAAAAGTTTTGACTTGGGTTTCCTGACTTCTTAAGACATTTGATTATATTGAGTCAAAATAAGGAATGACGTCAGAAAATAAGGTTGAAAATAACAAATGACAATATTTTCTCACGATTGAACCTAGGTCTCGATCTAGGCACTAGGCATAGGAGGGTAATGTTTTATGGTCATGTGGATAAACACATTATAATCTTATACAACAAATTGACTGGGGTTGTAATTCCTCCTGGACTACAAATGGGCCCGCTTCTAGAGGTGAAAAGAACGACTTATAAAAATCCTAAATAAAAATCAACTTCTATATACGATTGAACTGAATACCTTCGAAGTCTGAACCTTTGAACTCTCATATTTGAGTACAAAACCAAATAATAATAATTTTATAAGTACATCTCATCTCATGTATTAGCATGGGAATGACAAAACTAAAAAAAGACTAGTACACTAATTTACTAAACCAAACCAAGCGGTCGAACGTGCGATGATATTTTCGAGGGTGATCACTGATCATAGTTAGGGGTGGTAAACGGTTTACCATTTTATCGAACCGGTAACCGGCGGTAAACGGTTTCCGGCGGTATCGGCAGTCGAGCGGGAAGTTGGGGGAGTCGGTTTACCGGACACGGTATCGGTAAATACTGACGGTAAATCGGTAATACCGATACCGAAATCCCCCCTCCCTACTCCACTAACATATAACATATACATCATTATTCACAAATATAAAATAGGCAAAATTCACTTCCGTAGCCATAACTTTGCACTTTGTGACAAATATAGCCAGATTCTGAGAAATACACAAATATAGCCACATTTTATAAACTTGCTTGACAAATATAGCCATTTCGGTTAAATAATTTGACGACGTTAATAATTCCGTCAGTTAAATGGATGTCATTCTGATGACGCTGCCACGTCATGGCCACGTCATGCCCACATAGACCCCCCACTGCCACATAATCGCCACATCACATTTTCAAATAAAAAAACATAAATACACTTTTATGGATCGTATTTTTC